TGAGCTTATATCTCCACTTAAACTGGATCAAACTGTGGATTTGTAAAATAAACTTATTGCAAAATATAGCTTTTAAAGCAGAAACATTAAACCCAGACACATGCCCGAACACCAGTTTGTTTGTTTACAGTGTAGCTGCGTCGCTCATGGTAACAGGCCTGATGAATAGGCTGAGCTCCACAGGTACAGGAGGAGCCACGTATCTCTCCTCCCTCAGCAGTCGCAGTAACAAATCATCAGTGTCCTGCGGCCAGCAGTACACGCGAGTATTCTGGAGCCAGCTTGGGACATGTTTCTGTAAAGAGTTTCCACAGTTTTTAAAAAAAAAAAAAAAAAATAGATTTAATAAAGATAAGATTAATACAAAGGGATAAATATGGGAAATGTTTTCTGACCTGGGATGCACAAAGGAAGAGAACCGGGATGAATCTAAAATTTAAGCTCCCCTGCTGGATGAACTCATTCTGCATCTGGCAAAATTAAATATACAATAAAATACTCTAAGTTTACCTGTCAGCATTATTGCATATTATTTATGCCAGGGGTGTCAAACTCAAATACACAGTGGGCCAAAATTCAAAACTGGAACAATGTTGCGGGCTAACATTAATATTTATTGAAAAAAAATCTTCCTCCAGATATCAGAATCAATCTTTTCTTATTGACTCAAACAAGTTTTGCTGAAAAACAGAATATGGAACAAGCAAGGCTTAATACTAAACGATATATATATAGATATTAGCTGTATAATACCAGTAGGCCAGCTCTAGTAATTTGGTATGGCTTCGCGGGCCAAATGTAATTACACTGCGGGCCAAAAGTGGCCCACGGGCCAGAGTTTGACACCTATGATTTATGCAAAGAAATATGACATTTTTTTGTGTTCATAAACATTAATAAACAATAAAGGAATGAAGAACTTAATCATGAAACTGTTAAGAAAAAATGAATAAATGTTTTTTACATACTGAACACTTCTAAATAACAATACTGTGGAAAAAGTCTGGAGTCAGCTCCATTTATTTATATTTTGCTAGGACGACTGGAAATTGCTGCAGCAATTTATTGAAACGTGAAAACGTTTTTTTAAAATGTATATAAGGATTATAAATCCTTGAGTAAGAGCAAATACTGCTCATCTGCTATAGATCTGTTTTTAAGCCTAGTTCTTATGTTTTGACACAGTGTTTGTAACAAAGTGTCTAAAGATACAATTTAAAATTGTTTCTTTGTTAAGCTCTCTGTCGTGTGTAGACATAACGCTGGTTCATCCTTTAAGTTAAATGCATTTTTATGCTTGAATGTCCAAAGAAAAAAGCCATTCAGAAAGCCTGGAGAATTATTGCTCAAGGCCCTCTAAAGAAATTAAATAAAATAATTTAAGGGTGGCTCAAGACTTTTGCACAGTATCACAACTGTAATATTTTAATAGCATTTTCTAATTCAGTGTAGAATTAACTCCTCTGCTAAAATACAGTATTTGAGTATTTCCTCCATTGCTGATTTATCCTCACCATTGAGTGGATATATCTGGTGTGTAGACCATGGCTGTCAACTGCAGGTCCTTCAATATCCTCCTTGTACTTTGGACTGATGGCGATAATAATAAGGGTTAACGGCTGTTAAAAAAAAAAAAAACCAGACAGAAATTTCAGACACTGAATAAAAAGACAGTGTTCATACAAAAGTAACTTGAAATAAACACAGATACAGCAAAAACATGGAATATGAAATATTATTTTATCTATTATAGAGGGCAACACACTTGCTGATCTTGATGATGGGTACTTTATTAATCCCAGGGGGAATCTGAGATTCCCCGAGCTCATATAACCACATAACTACATAAACACTAACAGAAAGCAGACTGACTACATCAAGCTAGAATCATAGTTTAAAAATAAGATAGAAAAACGATGTGTTACAAGACCTGTGCAAATAATAGTGTAGCCTAGTAAGGAGTATTAAAAAGGTAGACTTGTAGATACTTGCAGCAATTTATGGTAACAATATAACTTCGCACACAGTTCTCATAATTACTTACATCTTTAAGGTAACTGTCTGTCCACTTGTTGACGTCCATACATCTAATGGAGCTGTCATATAAGTCAATCTGTGAAATTTAGGTTAGTGCTGTGAGCAAAGTGTTTAATGATATTACAGAATGATAGTGTACACAGGGTGGAAGCTTACAGCCGGTCGAAAACCTTGCTTTGTGAGGAAATCCACAAAGGGGACCATCTCTGAGGACACGTCGGAAGAGTAAGTGATGAAAACGTTTCCTGAGAAGAGGCAAGATAATAAAACCCAAACAATCAGAATCTTAAAGCTTTATGTTCAGTGTCAGCTTAATATAAGCGTATTTGTATTTTCTGTATTTTCTGCTATACTGTTACATACTGGTTTGGCTGTTGATGCTTCATTTAGTGCAAGTGTTCAAAGCCAAACTGTGACTTAAAACGTTTCAAAAAAAGAAGAAACAGCAGCAAATAAAAATGATCAGATAGGTGAAGTACCTTTATCCTGAAAATTACATTTTGAGAAAATATATAAGCTACCACTGTGTTTGGGTCACCGATTTCTAAAAATAAACGGAAAAAAAAAGTATATAAAAAATGTGGTCAGCTAAAATATCTTCATCATTATTCTAAGTAACTCATTCCTATATTATAAATTTGAAAAATTAATCAAAAATATAGCCTAAAGCTAGCTTTCTTACAATATTTTGAGCTTGCTTTTGATTTTAAATGTGAATCTAAAGACAATACAAATAGATATTACTTCAGTTTACCTGCTAAGTAGCTAGTTTCTGCGCTAGCATGAACTGTTTTGGTGACAAAATGTCTCTAAGATACTAATTAATCTGTTCCGTCAACACTTAAATGTGCATTCCTTGTTACAGAGACAATAAAGTGCCAAAAAAACTGACTCACGGCACTCATCGGGCAAACGGATGCTCTTCCTTTTCCCGTGTGGATGTGAAGCGGACTCCTCTGCTTCTTCTGAGCGCACATTCAGCATGCTGACCCGTGAAACATCCTCCACAGTGGGAAGTGAGAACTGAGGGACGTTAACTGAGACACTTCCCATGATGTTATTCTTAAAGTGGTCGTGAAACTGGAGCCTGAAGCCGCAAGAAAGAAAAATATACGACCAACATCTTTCACATAATCTTGCCAATCTTGTGCAATGCATTGCACCTTTATCAATATACCATACATGTAAAAAAAAATGTTGTTTTCTGAATATGTCTGTGAAGGTTCTCAGTCATCCAGGTCATAGTCAAAGGAGCTTGCAAAGAAAAGCGTCTGGACTTCTTTAAGTTGCTTGAAGACGTTTCACCTCTCATCCGAGAAGCTTCTTCCGTTCTAAGGTCAAATGGTGGAGAGTCCCAGATATAAACCTAGTGGGAGTATCCCCCCACAGAGGGACAAAAAGAAGCCATCTATGTCCACTGTGAGCGACCATCTTTGAACAGAGTGGGTCTGAAGTGCACCGGGATGTCATGCTTGGAGAATACCCTGGGCATTCTTAAAGTCAGCAAAGAGGCACAGA